AATGCCTAATTCTTGGGTTTTTTTCCAAGAGACTCAGAGCTGCAGCTGTGTCCACAAAGGGCACCTCCGTATTACCTTTTTATTCCCAACAAGTACTTCAACATGCTGTCCTCAGAAAAACTTGAGTCACAAGGGACTACAGTCTTGCATAGATGTAAGAGAGGGTACGTTGGCTTTCTGATGCATCACATCAGTAGCACCGTTTCTTACTGGTAAAGCCTCAGGCTTAAGTTCTCTCCCTCATCCTGACAGAAGGCCACCCTACACTTACAATCTCAGCACTGAATTCCTGCCCTGCTGTGCTGGTTCTGGCTGGGATAGAGTTACCTTTCTTCATAGTAGCTGGTATGGAGCTATGTTTTGGATTTGTGCTGGAAACAGTGTAGATAATACAGGGATGTTTCCGTTACTGCTGAGCAGTGCTGACACAGAGTCAAGGCCTTTGCTGCTCCTCACCCCACCCCACCAGCGAGGAGGCTGGGGGGCACAAGAAACTGGGGGGGACACAGCGGGGACAGCTGACCCCACTGACCAAAGGGATGTTCCATACCGTATGGCCTCATGCTCAGTGTATAAAGCTGGGGAAGAAGGAGGAAGGGGGGAACGTTCAGAGTTAGGGCATTTGTCTTCCCAAGTAACCGTTACGCGTGATGGAGCCCTGCTGTCCTGGAGACGGCTGAACCCCTGCCTGCCGATGGGAAGCGGTGAATGGATTCCTTGTTTTGCTTCGCTTGTACACATGGCTTTTGCTGTACCTATTAAACTGTCTTTATCTCAAACCATGAGTTTTCTCACTTTTACCCTTCTGATCCTCTCCCCCATCCCAGCAGGGGGAATGAGTGAGCGGCTGTGTGGGGCTTAGCTGCCAGCTAAGGTTAAATATCATGACAACCTCCCTAAGTATTTCCCAAGGAAACGCGTTTGCAGATAATTCTGCCATCCAGCTTTTCACTTTTAGTTTAGAGACAAGCAGATGCGTAACCTTCAGATACTGGCACATTCTAGAAACATAAAAATTTATTTTTCCAAGGAACTACTCATTTCTATTTATTACTATAAACTACAGAGCCCTTTCGTACCAATATCTGACAGATACCTCACCACGCAACAGAAAAGATAATTCAAATCCTACATGGTTAGAATCCACAAGTACTCACATTAAAATTGGGAGGAAAACAGCCCATATAATTCCTTTGTTACAATTTTTTCTCTCCTCCCCAAAATCGGCCAAAGCCAAAGTCCTTTCAAATTTCAGTATTACTGAAGGTAATAACTATAGGTATAACTATAGCTTCCTCTTCATCTGAACTGTTGATTTTTGCAGTAGTGTAACAACAGCTATTAAAGCAATTTCAGAGATGAAGTAGTTTTACACTTGGCAAAGGACTCTCAAAACTATGTTTTGACTCAGGAATATTAAATTCTCCCAAATGTTCTTCAGCTTAAAAAAAAAAAAGCATATGATCATTACTAATCGTTCCTTATGATCATAACAGGTGCCATAATCTCAGGTGCAAAGACTGTAGTTCTGCTCTGCACTACGGTTTTGCTTTTCAACCTCAAAACTGAGCAGCCACCTCTGCAATTTAATTAGTACCATAGCTTCTCCTGACAATCAACTACATTCTTCTTTAGCAGAGCACTATTTTCTATCTTCCAATGGAAGTAGTAGAAATCAGGAAAAACACTTCCCTAAGATTAGTATCATTAAGAAGGATTAACTAACGTGGTCTGTTTATAGAGCGACAGTTTTGAACAATAATTGTAGGCGAAGCTTATGACTGAATGAAACATAAGGTGAAATTCATTCTATCAGTCAGCAGTTCAAACTCCTTAGACCTGAGAGGCATGTAGACCTGCAGTCTTAAAACTCTGCCTACCAAGCAAGATGTGTTCCATCAAATAAGTATTCCTGAGGTTTTCATAGTTCAAGGACTATAAACAAGAAAGATGCACTATACTCTCACTCAAGTCAGTTATTTTGACATTCTACTCTGGAGTACATAAGAAAGAATGTACTTACCTTCTGCCAGGCTGTACATCTTAACAGAAAAAAAAAAGTAAGAGACAAGGAATTAAATAAAGCCCTCTGTGCTCAGAATGGAAGGAAAGATGCTCGCTCTTTATGGGTTTTTTGACTTGGAAGAAATTTTCTATACAGTAATTTTGTTTCCTTCTACTTTTACCTTGCTTTACTCATAGAACATAGGGTGATACAAAGGAATTGTTCAAATAAGCAACTGTTCGAAAGCAAACTAAAGAAAACTAGAGTGAAGGAGCACAACTAAGAATTTAGAAAACTACTGTACTACTTGAAAGCATCTGCCTATTGTAGGCTACTATAAAGGAATGCTAAAAGCCAACTTCAGAAACATAGCTCAGCTACTTGCCAAGGTCTGTCAAATTAACATGCAAAGTTATGGAAAGCATCCCTGATTTGCTACTACTAGTCTTTTTACCTGCATGCATGTTTTCACCTTCTTACATATCCTGCATCAGCGTATCTGAAAAACGCGAGTCAATCGCTTTAGACATAGGTCAAATAAAACCAGCTGGTCCTACTGGATCTTGTCCGAGTTGTTCAGTTTCCAGAGTACTCAGGATCAGGGCCAGACTTAGGATGGGAATCCACGCAACAAGTCTTGAGGAGCACATTGGCAAGCACAGCAGATGGAACTTACATTATTAAATCAGGTATCTTTTCAACTGCTACTTCTGCCCCGAGTGATTCTCCTCCCTACTGCTAATTAACCGTGTCAGCATCGTCAAATACTTCCCTGTCTTAATTCACAAAACTATTGAGAATCTACCTAATTTGTAGTAGACAAGCTTACTGTAGAGTAAAAATTGTCAGAGATGTGCAACATCTCTCATTTCTCCCAACAAAAAAGTTACTTTTCTTCATAATCCTCCCTGCTTGATACAGAGCAAGGCCAGGGAAATTGGTATTCGAGGTCTTAAAATATTATTTGTTAAAATCTACCTATCATTCATATAACAAAACTAACGCAAACGCATTAATGAACAGTTAAGAGTACTGAAATTGAATCTACAGACCGTTGACTTTTCTCACATTTTGACTGTTTTGCTTATGATAAAGAATGTGATGCATCATTATCTGTTTACCACATCAAGTTTATATTTAGAATGTCGGGGGGGGGGAAGATCAGTTTTCTTTAAAACTTCCTGATAACTTCAAGCTTTCCTTCCTAAAAGTAAATCATTACCTAAAAGTTTAAGTCACACATCTAATTTCATGAGGGTAAATATAACAGCTCTTTTATACTGAATCAATTATTCAAAATGTTAATTCTGTTATTGCTTGGAGAGAAAACACAGGTAGCAAATTCTCAGCTTGTCATGATAAGACAAGGCTGTCTTCTCAGATAACCAGGCTCTCCAAATTCCAAGCTGCCATAGGAGGATTTTATGTAAACTCACAAAATAGCTTCCAAGTTATGAGTGAACTGAGAAGAGTGCTATTTATTTAAGAAATATCAATCTAAAGAAGCACAAACATGCTTTAAATTTTGTAATAGGTGTACAAGATGAGAAGGAAAGCAGAAAGCTCCATTTTCTGCTCCATAATTATTCTAATTCTCGAAAATTTCTGGTATGTGACTTCCACTTCCCGACTTGACACTAGCTCATTGTTTGCCTCGCAGAAAGTGACTTAACTATTTTCCTTCTGAAAGATGTTTATTACCCACTTCTTCCTGAACTGCAGTTTTCTTTTAAGTACATGTACACACACATATTTGTACATACACATACAGAGAGAGCACATGCCTCAAAATAGAACAAAAACGCCTGCTACCAATCCGCTGCTTCGGATTTCGCATGCGCAAAGAGTCTGTTCAGTATTTTCTGTGCATTAACTACCCACTGAATTAAATTGCATCTTAGACATAGCCAAACTCATACTTTTAATCATATTACTGTAGTTTGCCCCTTGATTAAAATTTCAGCGTTTGACACTGTAGTCCTGATACTACAAACCTGAATGCCTCAACTGCTTTAACTACTTTGAAGATCCTAGAGTGAGCTAACTTTGGAAAAGATAAGTGTTTCTAAAGGACATTAGTTTTTCTGGGAAATGGTCTTTTGGTGACCTAGATGCATAATTTTAAATATGCTTTCTTCACTATCTAACATGCAATGAGGAAATCATCAGCATACCATTGGCCAAACTTACATGATTAATTAATTGAAAACAGGGGGGATGCTCTTACCATAAATTACCAAGAATCAAGATCTTAACACCAAAAACATAAGACATACTATTAGCTTGTTATACATGTGTGTGATAAAGATATGAATTGGCCTAAGGCTTTTAAAAGCCAACTGTATCATCAGAGCGGAAGTCCGTGACAGTAGATGATCAGCTGCTCCCAGTCAAAAGCATCAGACTAGTTTATTGTGCATCAATATTAAAATACTTGCAAGCTGTGTCCCAAGAAGTTTTCATGTAACTTTGTAGCAAAGGAAAAATACACAGTCTATCAAGGCTATATACCTTCCTTTAGACCAAAATAAATATCCAAAGTTCAGTAGTGCAAACTTCACATATGCCCTAGCTTGCTTACTCTTGACCCTTGGTTATTTACACAAGCAACATGTGGATGGGGAGGAAAGCAATTACAAGTTAAATCTTCTATAGCTATTCTATACATGGTACAAAAGTCATCTTAATATAAATCCTTTGAATAATCCATTTTAAAAAACCCAACACCTATGCCTTTCTATCATTTCAAAGAAAATTACAAGTTTCTTTTTCAGAACTGAATATGTAAATGAATGAACTGACTTGCACTCAGACAAAAGAGTGAGGTTTCCTGTATTGATGCATTCAAAGTAGGTGAACTAGGGCAAAAGAATAAAACCAAAGAATTTATAAAAGAAAGCCGCTTTTACAATACAAAGTTTTCAAAGCAGAGTGCCTTAATATGGGAAATGTATATCCTGTTTTATATCCTTAGCTTTATCAGGATCTCTGACAGACATGCCTTAATGGTAACACTGTTCCTTCTTCTTAATAACTAGTATTTCTTTTTAACAACTATGAGGAGTGATGGTAATCTGCTCTCCTTGCTCCCCAAGAGAACTGCCTGAGCACCTTCCTCCAGCCCTCATTACACAGAATTTTTCCAGACAGGTGTTCCCCTCCTATGCTAATATTCCAAGCTGTTTGTAATACATTAAACATGAAACTGCAGTTCTTTTCCGCTCATGCCAAATTATCTCCTGGCATCCAATACAGCATGGCCCTTGACTACATACCTGTAGAAAGATCCTTGGTCAGTAAAACAAAAGCAGGAGGTAAAAATACAGTAGATAGGCAAGTGCTAGGATCTCCTGACTTACAGAATTTTACAAAGGTAAAGAAGAGTCTTGCTCAAGGGCTATCTATGCTTCTCTTAGGCCAATGCAGAGCATTGTGTTGATTGCTCAACAACATTTATGCTGAAGTGAATCTTGGCACCTTGCAGTATGCACCAACATAGGTAAATGAATTACCACATATTAGCTGAACCACTACCATGACCACATTTTACTCTGTATCTGCAACAAGTTAGGAAGAATCTACTTTTAGGCACTTTCGTTTTGTTTTGTTTAAATTGAGATCATTCTCATGCAAAGTCATCTGTCACTATCTTTCATAACAGCTGCCCAAAGCTGATGATAAATGGAATTCAGATAATATTATTACTACAGGGAATCGTGTATATATTACTTCTCTAAGCAGAATGTCAATAAGCACATATAGTTAATGCTATATACAGCTATGCTAGCATTTAGTATGTATTTGATGGAAGGATAAAGCTATGACAAAGGATTCCCTTCAACACAGGTAGTAAAACTGAATTCCTTTTTCCACCACTAGGTATGATGAAATTGATAGACAAAATACATAGACACCAAGAAAGAAAAAGTAACTTTTTTTTTCCCTTTACTTTCATCAACTAAGTGCAATCAATGACGCATTGGAGAAGGAATAAAAAGAGTAAGTCTGTGTCATACACCCCAACATATTAATGCAAAATTGCAGCTGAACACAGTCCTCAACTTTCAAGAGGCAAAAATCTTACCTTTTTAACTGTCACACCATCCTTTGGAGTTTGCTTTGTTGACAGATTGTACCCAATCATCTGTTTAGCAAGCTGTTCAACAATCTTAGGGCTACAAACAAAGGAAAAAGTTAGTTTATTGGAAGATATTAAAAGAAAGAGCCACATTGCTATTGTAAACAGCTTAAATATTACAACAGATGCAATTTATTTATGCTTCTTCAATTTTAAAGACTTACTCTTTAGTTAGATGAACTCCTCCTTTCAATCCACTATTGAAAATACCTTTTCCTCTCCCTCCAGCCAGAATCTGTGCCTTCAGAACAATCTCCTTTGCCTCTGTAAAAGAAAAACACGTTGCTATTATATCATGTGTCATATATTGAGCTTGTTAGTGTAAGTTTAAAAAGCATTTCCAGGTTAGACTCTTTAAAAAACAATGAGAGGTTGTTCATAACTAGTGAGCAATTAAACAAGAGTCAATTCAGCATTTTTAGAAAGCAACCTTGCAAAAAGGAATTGTTCAAGGAAGTTTAAGGGTAAACATACATTACTTATTAGCAGGGTAAGTATGTCATTATTTAGATCAAAACCACGCTATTAATGCTACACAGTCTGCACAACAAACCATATAACCAGCATATAGCCTGACAGCTTACGCTCTGGCACGGTTTTTAAGACATGAATCAGATCATGTTTTGTCTTGAATGCAGAAGAAACAAACGCTCATCAAGGAAAATAAATTCCATTCCTTGCTCTGAACACACGTAAGCAAAGCTATGGATGTGGTCCTAGAAGAAATCCCCATCTCCAAAGGGCGCATAAGTGTAGACCAAGGGCAGTGCCTGTGAAAACACGTTAATCTGTTCGGGAGGCAAGTTATCTCTTGAATTTTTGGCCATGCGAGTGTAACAGTATCTTAGTAACGAAAACGTGCAGCAAGACACAGTGACAAAAGTAACTGCACCAAGACCTACGTTCCAAACAGAAGCAATCCTGACATCCTTACGGAGTAAAATGGGGAAGGAGGGAAAGGGAAAAGAAAAAAAACCCATCAGACAAAACCATCACTCATGATCTCTGCAGCTCCACGGACCACAGCAGCTTCTTGAACCATAAATACTTGCCAGGTGCCTGTAAGATGTTTATTAATACTGAATACTGTCTCTTTGCATATTTATTGTAATACTGCCAGGTATTTTGCAATGTCTGAGATCCTAATATTAACATATCATTAAGTGGTGCCTAGAAAAGGCTAGCATTGTTATCCTTTTCTGAAGTCCTGTGAAAATCTCTGATTTCAGTGATGTTTGGATTAGGTCACACCTAGAATCTTCTATGCAAGTATGCAAGAAAACATGAGAATTTGTTGTTAAATTGACAAATTTATATTTTAAGTGACACAGAGGGTACGGATACTTTCATTCAAACAAACACAGGTTTTCTAGGCTTGTATTACACAAAAATATTTTACAGATGCGTTAATAACTTTGAAGGTGTGACAACTTTTGGTGCAGACGAGATCTGACACATCGTCATTTCAATGCTCCAGTATAATAAATTTCAGAAACTAGAAAAACAGTTGCATCTTAGGACAGAATAAATATTATTAAATAAATATTCTATTTCCTATACTAGGACAGAAATGCATTTTTGAACACAGATATTGGAGGTACTGCACTATGAGATGCCCGATTTCTGAGCTTCTCAAGACAAAATCCCTCCACATGTTTATCCATTCAGTAACATTTGACACACATCATTCTGAACCTTAAAAGAATTCTCCTTGAAAATACTTCATGCATTCCAATACATTCTTGTTCTGGGCTCCCTATTACTCATGCCATTGCAAGGTAGATAACAAGGAAATTTAAATGCAACAAGAAGTTTTATATCAAGTGTTTTCTAAGCACACAAATTATTAAGACAAAGTAAAACTATAAATCACTTTCCAACCTGGAGAAGCAAACTCTAAAATCACAACAGCCACTGTGACAAAGAATCTAATATAGTATTGTTAATAGATGCTGCAAGCATTTAATTAAATCGATTTTAGGTGCCAACCATCCCAACAACGTGAGTTTTGATTGTCAGTGACATGTGATATCAATTATGTGAGTGATCATCACCCTCATTCCTAACCAGCATGCTACACCAGTGCTGATTATCTTCATTTGGCTACAACAAATTAAGTTAGAGAAAGGAATTAATGTGTACATTTTTATAATCCACTAGAGGACTATCAAGGCAATACAGTATCTCCAGAAAAACAACTATCAAAAACATAAACAAACACAGTAGAAAGTAAGCCTAACCATGTAAAGATTAGACCTGAAGAACTAATCAATACAGCAGCTCAGCAGAGCAGCGTACAGCAGGTCCTTCTCGCCCTGGGGAAACCAACAGGAAGCAATTTAATTCAATAGTTATTTGCCCAAGCTCTGTAAAATGAAGTAAACCAGCCAGATTTTATTCCACAGTAACTAGGCTTGATCATTCAGTACTTACCAAGCTGATCCACTACTTAACATCACCAGTTTAGATAAAGAGCTGATTTCTAGAAATGCTCAAAGTTTTCATCCTATCTCCTGCCTGAATTCCCAAATTATGTTATGAAAGCCTACCCCAAAAGAAAAATGTGGCTTTAGTTGGAACATATAAAGTGATTCTCCTTCACTTCTGGGCTCTAATAAAAATAAATAAATAATCTAAAAAGCAGTATGTTGAGTCAGTATTAAACCCACTAAAACCAAAAAGCTGTAATTATTTTGCATTAGTAACCCTCCAAACTGCTGTACTAACACTGGAAAAATGATTAAGCAGAGCTGTAAAGTTATACATACTGGATTTGCAGAGAACCTAGCACAAGGAAGATGTCCTTACACCACCATAAAGTATACTGCAACATTTTCAACAGCACTGCATTTGGTAATTAAGGCTGCAATGAACTTCTGTTTATGTCCATTGACTGACATGCCTCTGTGTTAATTTAAAAAAAAAAAACAAGCAACCCAAAACCGAAAACCAAACACAAATAACAAAACAGACTGCTTCTTAAGTGTGCATAGATATTTTTGGTCACAGATTTAAATTTTTCTTTATCATTAAAAACAATAGAAAAAAAGACTGCTTTTAAGTATCACTAATTTAGCAGCAAATAGCTGCAAACTGCTCCATGCAGATTAATGACGCATTTCTGGTAACAGCATGTGTTCTTAACTAATTATAGCTTGAATACATTAGTATCTCAGACTTAACAATTTATTCATTGGATCTCATGTTTGTCTTTTTTTATATTAGTCTACAGAAAAAGAGAGACATGAACATTTCCAGAGTCCCTTAAGAAGATGGAGGAAAATACAGCTTGTCCCTAAGTCAGCTGTCAATAAATAAGCAAGAACTTTACCCCTCAGAAAAGTCCTCAGAGTTTAAACTTTCACAACTGTGCTTGGGTCTAACTACGTTTTTAAAAAAAATGAGTCTAATCACATCGGAAAAAAGCCTTAAATACTTTTCTTTTAAATAAATTCAGATGCTTCAGCGGAACATAACAGAACCCTCTGAGGGACAAGCATCGTCTGCACTGCATTCAACAATACGTCTCCTTCTCTTCGGTCAGCGCTGTGAATACAAATGCTGGTGATACTCCCTGCAATTGTAATAGGCTCAGTTCTATAATGAAAACCTATTTAAAATCAATAAAATCAGTCCTGCTTTTGGGAGCTATGATTACTCTGGTCCACTGGTACTGCTTGCAGCAAAAATGAACAGCTTGTTCTCAGCCCACTGCTGTGTATATTTAACTCCTGAATTCTTGATCATGAAACAATATACTGAAAACCACAGATCTGCTAGTTACATGGTATGCTAATTTATTACCTGTGAACAACTTTCCATTATTATTGATACGACTGTGTGACTGCAAATTAGGCGTGTTAACAATTACATTAAAATGTGCTGGAGCTTATCAAAAATAAACTACTGTAAAGAACAGACAATGAAAGGCTACACACTACCAGGCCTCACTCTTGCCTGTTTATGAATAAAGATTTTATACCAGAGACCACTCAGGACTCCTTTGGCAAGGCATCCTGCGCGACACAACCGGAGCCGGGGACTGAAAGGGAGGAGGTCTCATGAAAGCCTCACCACAGTTCTGTCTCACCATGCGACCTTCAGCAGTTCGGCTTCTCGATCCGCAAAGGCGCTGTGAAAATTAATTAGCGTCTGCATTTCTTTTAAAAATGCAGCACCTGATTCAGCATTACATTTGTGTGTTTTACCTCGGTGTAAAGCAACTGATCACAGGAGAAGGGCTGACTCCAGACCTTGGCAGCACCGTAAGTATTGCAGCAGCGGCAGAGTCACTGGGAAACGCGCTCATACCTCCCGCAACGAGCTTAGTACACGTTGCAAAATACATGGAAGTAACCCCGTGTCACGGGAGCAGTGCAAAGAAGACAAATTGAGGACATGCCAAATCAACGTCTTACACAAGCACCGTCTCCTTACTGACCCAACCGTGAGCATAAACACCAAGTTTATAGACACATGAGAGCTGTCCCCACAAAGGCAGCAGGCGTTAACGGGATCCCTCCACCCTTCACTATGCACAGGAGGACCCCAGCCCAGTGAGGTTGGACAGATATTAATTAACTTCAAGAACTTTGCCAGTCACCCTTCTTTGTCTAAAGTCATCAACCTGTGCTCTTCCAGTACATCCCCTTCCCGAAGTCCTGAAAGAGCGACATGGGGTCCAGGAATCTGCAACCAGCTCCAAACTCTCCCCGTCTACGAAGAGGCAGAGGCCGATCTAATGATGTATTTACCTGGTAAAACTCCTCCGAGGGACACAAATCACTGTTACGCTTGGACACGTGCAACTTTAAGCTTCCTTTTGGCCTGTCAAGAGTTAGTCTGAATCTTTTTCATGGTTGTCTAGAATATTACTCCTCAAAGGACTGGCTGGGATCCCACTGGATAATCAACTCCACCTCCCAACCACCTATGCTGACACTGATTTCCTAAAACAGAGCAGTAAATTCAGTGCTTCCCTTCCCAAAGTAAGGCTTTTCCCCCCACTCTGCTTTATAATTTAGTTTTCATAACATAGGGTTTCAGGAAAACAAGGCAGATACTACATTTTCTGACAGCAATTATACTTCATTTTGGATAGCACAAGAACTAGAAGAACATCAACAAAACCCAGTATGCCTACATGCCATTCCTACTTCAGTTTCCTCACCAGTGTTGATGCAAAACCGCAAATGGTCAAGTATCCTGTAACAGTTCTACATAACCTCTCCCAAACTGCGTCTCTGCAGCTCAGCGCTTGTCCT